CAACAGTTGCAATTGTGGCTGTGAGATCTGTGAGCCTTTTGATAATGTTGATGGGGGGCTCCTGTTGTCCTCCTGCGTTTTGTCCTTGGGATGCATTCTGCAAGATTTGAAAGAGAAGTATGTACAACATCTTGATCATGATTGATTGAGCGTGGATTGCTCTCAAGTTTTTAAAATTGCAGTGTCATAAGTATTTTGCTCACTGAAGGGTTTTTGCCACTAGGTGGTGCTAGAGGCTCTCCGCTAGAGGAGAACTGTCTTGCAGACAGCCTTCATGAGTGATAGCTATCTGCAAAGCAGTTTTTCCCTCATGGGACATACTTTGAAGTGTGTCCAATTTGCTTGGACAGGCCAGCATAGGGCCTTGAGTTATCAGGTCATTAGGCAAAGGAGTTTCTTCCTTCCATACTTACCTGTTGTGTGCTTACCTGTGAGTTGCAGTTTATAATTGCACACATAAGCAAGAAGAGTGCCAGGGCTCTGGTCTCTGGCAAGTGACATGGTCTGGGCTTGATCTAATAGGGCTTTGGTATTATCCCAGATTATCTGGTGAGCTCTCCGGTGGGGAGGTCATGGTGGTCTCTTTCTTTCTTCCAGGCTCAATTTCCAGAGCTTGGCAATTGGTGGCTGGTGTGACATTTAAGAGGGGCTCGGGAAAATCCCATGCATTTGTTATGGGATCCTTCCATGAGACCATAGATAGATGGGAGGACTCTGAAAGGGGGGCCCAATGCTTATGGGCTGCTATTTCAGTAGAAAATTTTGAAATTGAAAAAAAAATAAAGCAAATAAGATTCTTTTCAAGCCATCATAAGGGGACTTAGTATAGTTTCTTGTATGTTCTTTCTATAATACCTTGAGTCTAAGGGCTATAGAGAATCCCAATTAAGTGATGTATATATCAACCACTGCAAATTGTTTGAAATGTCTTATTAGTATAGATTGGCCCTTTGTCAATTTTAATAGAGATGAGAACATTCATAATTTTAAAACATTTAAGTAGATGGAAGATGACATTTTTTTCTTTCATCTAGGGCAGGGTATCTTGGGGCTAGGGAGGCTGCCATTCTTAGGAAGGTACTGTTTAATATGGCCTGGCTGGTTACAGCCCTAGCAAATGGGATCAGATCTTAATTGGGAAGGCCCATCATTTTTTGTTAACTGATAGTTTGTTAATGGCAGCTCTTAGTGCCTGAATGGGCCCCAAAGCGGGGGCTATTTCCTTTGAGGCAGAGATCCATTCGAAAGGGGGGATTCGCTGCGTTCTGGGGTAATTGCAGCCCTAGTTCCTGCAGTCGCTCCTTCCCATGCCAATTGTTTTAATTAATGAGCCTTGAGTAGGGCCAGGTAGAATGAGCTTCCTGAATGCCTGGATAACTCTAGATAAGAAGTCAGGAAACCATTACTGGGGGCCTTGGATCATATTTCTGAACAATTCCTCATACTTTTTTTAAGAGTTCTTGAAGCAATATCTTAGACTTGACAAGACGCCTAATATAGGGGCTCAAGACGTTGACATGGAGGGCCCTAAGAAACAAAAAATGTGTTTAGGGTCCAAAGTCTTTGTGGGGGACTTCCTTGACTTGTTAGATCAAGGCCATATGCCCACACAGTGTCTCCAGAGCCAAGTTCCCTTTAACATAGAAAACTGAGGTTCCAAATTCTGGGAGGACCGGTACCTTATGTGAATTTGCCTGGTGAACCAGGGGGAAGGAGGGGTCATAAGGTGACACCAAGCCTTATGATGGTGTGTGCCTCAACTCTGGGTACTAATGATATGACAGGGACAAGGAAAGGGGGTAAAGAAGGGGGTTTCTTACTCACCTTCAAGGAACTGACAGCACACAGAACACAAATAGGGTCTACTACCTAAAGTCAATGGGATGGCCAGTCCCAAGGTGTGAGGGTGTAGCAGACATGTTGGGGTGCCAAATTGCATACATTCCTGTCACTGGTGTGATCAATTAGTCACTCGGCTATGTCAGTTGCAACGGATAGAGACACGGAATCAACACACAGACTCCAGGAGCTGGTGAGAGAACTGGCTGGTGAGAAACTTCTAGTCAATGTTCAGTAGCTCCATTTATTTTTGGAATGCACACAACTGTTATAGGGTTCAAGTGGGGCATGCCCATCAATCATACATAAGCAAGATAATATCCATAAGCCAATCATCTTCTGCCTAATGTAACCACACTGTGAGGAAACTCTAAATATTGCTGTCATGGTGGAAAGAAATCTGGAAGGGTCTTTGGCCCTTACTAAGTCAGGGGTTTTATGCCCTGAAGCCCCTGACTCTCGGTTTCCTGGCCTGGTAGTTTGGCAATGCTAACCACAAGTGCTGAGGATATGGTTTCACTAAAGTCTCCCTAGAGCAGAGCACCTCATCCTGCAGATGTTCCTGTCAGGCCTGAACAAACATGGATTCTTGAAGCACTCTGAGCTGTTTGTAGCTGCTGGCTGCAACTGGAAGTTATTCCAACCGGTTGCAGCACATGCCTGTAAGGCCAACTACTTGGCTGAGGTTGGAGGATTTTGAGTGCAGAGAGCCATCTTCCCATGCAGATCTCAGCAATGGCTAAGGCTCCAGCAGGTCCCCACATTCCTAGTCTCCTTTGGGGGCCCACTGGAAACAGGGAATGAAGAAAACGGGAACCCAGAGAAAGGCTGTAAAAACCCTGAATTCCCTTTGTAGCTGAAGCATTAGGATTGGAAATTTCCCAAATTGGAACATTAATGTCAAAACCATTGGCCATTAGAAATTAGGCATATTGAAAATAAGCTGGAGTTGGGGTCACAGCTGAGTACCCAGGAATAATCCTCTAGGTGAAACTGGATTCACTTTTCACCACTGCTTGTCCCATTTGGAAGGTGGGAGCAGAGTAGGATCCATGAGACCAGGATTTTCTCTACCCCCACTCCTGACCCTGTCATTCAACATGCTAGTCTTATTTTGAAAATCTGAAGAATTAGCTTAGGCCAGGCTGGGCATGTTTCTCCAGCCTGTAATCCCCAGAGACTCAGGAGAGACCAAGGGAGGACTGCAGCAATTCCAGGGAGCCTGGACAACTTAGCCAGACCCGCCTCTAAAGGGCAAGGGTATTTCTCTGTGGTTAGTGCCCCTATGTTCACTCCCAGGAGCCAAAGAAAAAAGAATTAGCTTCCTATGGGGGCAAGGAGTCTTATTTTTGTAGTGCTGGTCAGCAGTGCAGATGTAGTCGACAGCCAGAAATGTGGCTGTTGCAGGTGAAAGGCACACAGGCTCCCAGGAGCCTCCTCAAACAGCATACCATGCTAATTCTTTCCTGGTACTATTTTAATTGTCCAAATCATGTATAGAATTATTCATTTCTGTGCCAGTTTTTAATTTCTAAGAACTTATTTTTGGTTTTTCTTCTGCACCTAATTGTGCATAATTTCATTCTTATTCACAAATACTATGTCTTTTTACAGGTTTTTTCAATTACTGAGAGTAGTGGCACACAATCAAGCAAAGATATTGGTACCATTTGAGATCTCTCCACAGTTTACTCAGAGCAGCAGTTCTCAATGTGTGATCTGTGGAACCCTTGGAGGTGTTCAGATGATTGCACAGGATCCATATGATCAAAAATATTTTTTTTATATTATCACTGAAACATTACTTACACCAAAGTAAAACTTGCCAAACTGGAAGCTCTGGCACCAAACTGCAATAGTTGTTACTATATTCTTGAGCATCTTGTAACAGCGCCATTTTTTTTAATACCATTCCTGCTTCAAAGAATGAATGACAGAGAAACCATTCCTTAGACTTCAATATTTGGCCAACATTCTAAAATATGAACTGAGTCTGTCCCTTCAAGATAATCACAGACAGCAATATTTACAATGAAAAACATATGCTCTCAAGAGAATATCAGAATCTAGGAGAACCTGCAATCACCACTATCAACCTGACAGACTATCAAGCACCTACCTACAATATTTTCTGGTGAAATCTGTAGAAATATAAATATATGACCTCTTGATTATTTAGATTTAAATATGTTAACACTAGAAGGTCTATATATATATAACTTGAACAAACAGTGCATGACATTAAAAAATATCATGCATTAGCACAAGATTTCATCTAATGTGCAAGACACACTCACAGATTTTAATGCAACAGAATATGAACCATTCCATGGTAATGTTTCAGGGTCCATATGGCAAAGAACCTTTAAGAAGCTAACACTTGTATGAAGTTAGTGTTTGTATCAAAGACAATAGCCACAGTTACTGAAAACGTTGTTAAAAACATTCTTCCTGATACTTCTCTGAGGCTGCATTTTTGGTTGTTGTTGTTTCAACCAAAGTCACAGGGTAAATGCAGAACATATGAAATCTAGCATTCTCTGTGACAAATAGAAAGGACTTTCAACTTGTAAAAAGAAAAAACGATCAAGTCTTCAGATTAAATGTTTTGATTTTGAGAAACAGTTATTTCTCTTTGAAACTGCTGTTTGTTAACAAAGCAATTAATTATAAATACTCAGAAAGAATAAAATATCTTTAACATGGAATTAATTTCTAACATGATAAATATTGACAGACATAATCCACATTAGCCGGATCACCTCTGGAGTGCACACTGCTTTCTAAGAGCATGTGAAGATCCTAAAACCAAATTGAGAACTACTGACTTTACCCACTTAGGCAGGAATCAGGGGAAGGTGTGAGCAAAGAATGTTTAGTAAAAAGGAGTGTTCAGGGCAAAGTCCCAGCCGTGGGCGTGGCTCTCAGGGTCTAGACAGGGCCATGGTGTGGACACCCAGCACTGGGGATTTTCTGGCCTCTCTGGAGGAGTTTCACTTCTTCTTCTCCCAACCCGTGTCAGGTCCTTCTGCCTGGTCACTCCTGACGCGGCCCCAGTTCTCACTCCCATTGCGTGTCTGGTTCCTAGAGAAGCCAATCAGCATCATGGTTCGAGTTTTAGAGTCCCCACCCGCTGGCCAAGTCCCAGATCTCCACAGAGCTGCAGGATGGGGGTGACAGTGCCCAGGACGCTGCTCCTTATGCTGTCCTGGGCCCTGGCCCTGACCCAGACCTGGGCGGGTGAGTGCGGGGTGGGGAGAGAAATGGCCTCTGTGAGGGAAGAGCTAGGGCACCGTCCTGTCAGCATGCAGGACTCTGGAGAACCCCGTCCCCTTCGTCCCCGGTCCAGACCCTCCCCACTCTGGCGCGGTTCATCCTGACCCTTCACTCCCGCCCCTAAGTCCTACCTTCCCGCGTCCCGCCGCACCCTTAGCGTCTCTAGACCCAGCTCCTCTCCTGTCCTCGTCAACCTGGGACCTGGGTCAGGTGCCTGGAAGAGGATCGCGGGGTCTCAGCAGCTCCCTTCCCCAGGCTCCCACTCCATGAGGTATTTCTACACCGCCGTGTCCCGGCCTGGCAGGGAGGCCCGCTTCATCACTGTGGGCTACGTGGACGACACGCAGTTCGTGCGCTTCGACAGTGACACCGAGAATCCCAGGGAGGAGCCGCGGGCGCCCTGGATAGAGCAGGAGGGGCCGGAGTACTGGGAACGGAACACATGGCTTTACAAGGAAGCCACACAGGTTTACCGAGTGGGCCTCAACACCCTGCTGGGCTACTACAACCAGAGCGTGGGCGGTGAGTGACCCGGGCCCTGTCGGAGGTCGCGACCCCTCACGTACCTCACGGACGGTCCCGAGTCGTCCTGGGTCCTGGGTCCAAGGCTGAGGGACCCGCGGGGACCCTCGACCCAGAAATCGCCCCGGGGACTGTGACGGTTTCATTTTCAGTTTAGGGAGAACCCGGGCCGGGCCGCGGCTTACATCGGGGCGGGGGGGGGGGGGTGACAGGCTCTCACACCGTCCAGACGATGTATGGTTGCGACGTGGGGACAGACGGGCGCCTCCTCCGCGGTTACCGTCAGTACGCCTATGATGGCAAGGATTACCTCGCCCTGAACGAGGACCTGCGTTCTTGGACCCCAGCAGACACGGCGGCTCAGATCACCAAGAGGAAGTTGGAGGCGGCTGGTGTCGCAGAGCTCCGCAGGGCCTACCTGGAGGGCACCTGTGTGGAGTCGCTCACCAGGTACCTGAAGAATGGGAAACAGACACTGCAGCGCTTAGGTATGAGGGACTGCAGGACACCTGCCTGATCCCCTGTAGGTCTTTCCTCCAGCTTCCCACAAGGAGGGGAGGAGAATGGCGCCCACACTAGGACACCCCTGCTCCTTGTCCAGAGGGCAGTGAGTGGGCCTGGACCCCAGGTGCTGCACTAGAGAGGAACTGAGGCCGCTGTCTCTCAGGACAAGTGAGGGATCTGGTCTCTCTCTCCCTGGCTGGTGGGAAAGACAGTAAATATCTGACCACAGGTTCCTGTCAGCAGCCTTGACATCAGGGACAGACTGTCAGGATCACTCCAGCCTAGTGTCCTGGGAGACCTGACTCCAGCTTTTCCATAAGTCTCAGCCTCTACCCAAATCAGAATCTGAAGTCCCTCTTAGGGACCTGAAGCCTCCTCCACTGGGTTATCTCAATTTGATTCTAGAACTTTCCAAGGAATAGATTATGCCAAAAAAAAATCAGTTCCTGCTTGTGTCTAGGTTTTGTGCTCCCTCCCCACCCCCAGTCACACTGTCCACTCTCAGGATGGTCCTGTGAGCTTTGCTTCAGAGGTCCATGAGGAAATGCCAAAATGTCTGAATTTCCGTGTTCTTTCCCTCAGACCCCCCGAAGACGCATGTGACTCACCACCCTAGGCCTGAAGGGGATGTCACCTTGAGGTGCTGGGCCCTGGGCTTCTACCCTAAGGAGATCACCCTGACTTGGCAACGGGATGGGGAGGACCAGACCCAGGACATGGAACTTGTGGAGACCAGGCCTGCAGGGGATGGAAACTTCCAGAAATGGGCAGCTGTGGTGGTGCCTGCTGGAGAGGAGCAGAGATACACCTGCCGTGTGCATCATGAGGGGCTGCCTGAGCCCCTCACCCTGAGATGGGGTAAGGAGGGGGTGAGGGCCCAGAGCCTGTTGTCAGGAAGCAGGAGGCTTTCTGGATACCCTCAGCAGGGTCAGGGCAGAGAGCTGGGGATCAGGGCCCCTCACCTGACTTCCCTTTCTGTCCCAGAGCCACCCCCTCAGTCCACCATCGACATCGTGGGAATTGTTGCTGCTCTGATTGTCCTTGTTGTCATTGCAGCTGTGGTCCCTTTTGTCTTGTGGAAGAAGAAAAACACAGGTAGGGAAAGTGCAGGGTCTGAATTTTTGTCCCACTGATGGTTCCAAGTACCTGGTAGAAGTGTGCCCTGCCCTGTTAATGGGAAGTAAAATCTACACGTGTCCTTACCCAACCTGGACCCTGTTTACTTTTTGTGCATAGAATCTAAAGGGCAATGTATCCTCTTAATTTTTATGGTGATGGGACCTGATTCCCAGCATTTAGACGCCAGAGGGGAATCTTCCTGATGAGAACAGACCTCCAGGAGAGCAATTGGCTCCATCCCTACATATCTACTTTCTTCCTGTCTCCTGATGCTTCCCTACATCTGCAGTCACAGTTCTGGAGACTGTCCCAGTGTCCAGCACTAGGGGGCACCTGTAAGACCTATCTCCAAACTGTTCTCTCACAGGATGCTTTCTTCCCTCAGGTGTAAATAAAGGGCCCTATACTCCAGCTGCCTGTAAGTATGAAGAACATGGATCCCTGAGACCCTAGGAATAGTGTAGTGGGGAGCGATGGGGGAGCTGATCCATCCATGATTCCTCCATTACCCACATCTCCTGTGGGCTCTGACCAGGTTCATTTTTTGTTGTTGTTGTTGTTTTTTTTTGTTGTTGTTGTTTTTCCTGCTCAGGTAATGACAGTGCCCAGGGCTCTGATGTGTCTCTCACTGCTGAGAAAGGTGAGACCCTGGAGGACCTGAAGAGGGAGAGGAGTTGGGGGATGAGGAGACTCCTGGGTTTCAGGGACTCTCTCAGGGATTTGTGACATTTTGAGTGTTTAATGGGTTGTTCAGAGGGTCTCCATTACAATGAGTGATCTGAATCTGTTCATAATACTTTCTTTTACAGTGTGAGATACTACCGTCTGTGGGACTGAGCAGTACAGGATTTCTTCAGTTACTTCCTGCTCCCTACTGAGATTTCAAGAGGTTCTTACTTCTCTGTGCAGCTGGCATCTGTGTCTATGTGTCTGTGTTCCTATCATCATCACTGAGGAATTGCAGAGAAGAGCACATCCCTGACCACCAAGATACCTCCCCATACTGTCCTGTTCTCTTCCTCAATCAACTTTCCTATGTAGCAGATGTGGGGCTGGGATATCTCCATTTTTGATGTAGCTTCATGTTGCCCTGGGCTGTAGCTTCTTCCTTCCCTGTTGGAAAATAGAATCCGGATATTGATTTGTATTACAATTTTACGCCACAAAATATGGTTGATGGGTTAATTAAATGAAGATTCCTAAATTTCAAAGAGAAAATAAAGCCTGAAACCTTCTAGAATCTATATGTTTGCTGTGCTAAGTCTGCTGCAGGTGGGGACAGGAGAAGACTGAAAGCAGCTGAGGGTGGACAAGGTGGCACTCTGTCTCTGCTCAGTGCATCCTGGTCTCTGATGTGGTCACTCCTCAGCTAGATTGTCTTCCCTGCTCCTTCGTTTTGTCCCTCCAGTTGAACCTCAACCCATGATGACAGGGACTCAAGCATCATCAGGGCTTGTCCTGTATAGGATGAGACTTGACTCTGACCTTCTGCTCCCATCTTTTTTTGTTTCTCAGCTTCTATAGAGAATTATTAGTAAGTATGATGTCTGGGCTCTTTCTCCTCTGGGGTGTCTCTCGTCATTGATAGCAGAAAAACTCAGTTTTTTTTCTTTGGGGGGGTTGTTGTTGTTGTTGTTTTCTGTCATTGTCCCAAAAAATCCAGAGCAGTTTCCTGGATTGTATTTTCCATCATCCCTCCAATATTTTTAAAAAAGCCAGACTATAGAAATAGTAGAGAGGAAGGATATCATGATTTCTCATCCTAGATAAATTCCTCTTAGGGTTCTATCTTCTCTATTCGAAAGTTTCACTGTCCTTAACAATACTAATCCTAGAACTTGCTCCATTACAGATTCCTTAGTCAATAAAACAGAGTCCAAGAGAGATTTCTTTTTAGCTGGAAAATATCACCCATTAGTCAAGGATCATCTTTCCTGAAGATCAAAATGTACTTGGGTGCTGTGGAGTGCAGGAGGGCTGGTGTGGAGGGAGGGAGAGCAGCACTTGTGAGAAAAGCCCAGATGGCTTTGACCTCAGACTGAGAAGCCTTGTTCTAAAGATGTTTCAGCAGCATTTGGTCTGAGGCTCCATTAATAAAGAAAGTGCCTCTAGAAGAGGGAGGGGCTGACACTGACCATTCATTCAGCTCTTATTTGTTGAGTACTGAAGGGATTACACACAGTTTGCACCAAGCATACATCAGGGAACTGAAAACAAACCAGAAGTTCCACTTTTGTGGAGCCTGTGTTCTATAGGAAAGAGGAAGAAGATACACTCTAAGCACAGTAAATTAGGACAGTGTTCATGTTAGGTGACATTGAGGTATAGATTTGAAGGGCATGAAGGAATTTGTCAGGATGTTTGGAGGAAGATCTTTCTAGGCAGGAGTAAGCTGCAGTGAAAGTAAGCTGCAGGGCAGGATCCTATGTGTCTTCTGGGCAGAGCAAGGATCTGGGATGTCCTGAGCGGAGTCAGAGAGGAGCTCAGAGGCACAGTCAGTCGCTGAAGATCGGGAGGTTAACAAAAGGAATCTTGCATTGAATGAAGCAGTTTTGGGTAAAGACAGACATGGTGCATCTTTTCAATGCATCATATTACTGCTGACCTGAGAATACAATTGAGATGGGAGAACTATCAAGGCAGCAGGGAAACTGAGGAAACAGTCCTATGCTGGAGATATCGGTCACTTCACCTGGTGTGTGAGCAGGGGAAATAGTGGAAGTGTTGTGTTTTTTTTTGGGGGGGGGGTTTGTTGTTGTTGTTGTTGTTGAATGGGGACTTTACATTACTTCCTAATGACCTTAACTGGTGTATGAAAAGAGGAAGTAAAGAGATCACCAAAAATTTGTGACACTGTAATCAGAAAGATAAGAGTTGCATCAATGAAAAAAGGGAGACTGTCAGGGGCTTGTGTGAGGACAGGACTTTGCAGGCACTCAGTGGAGATGTTGAGCAGAGGTTTCAAACTGTCATACCAACAGCTGATAATCAAACTGCTCTCAGCAGACAAGGGCTTCATGTAAATATGCATCTTATGCTTGACTGGTGTCAGTCTGGGACAAGGAGTGGTAGAGGTGTCCTCAATCACTCTCACTTTCTGTCTGTGTCTTGTTGTGGGTTAGTAACAAACATTTAGAGTCGAGCACTGGTATACTGATTACCCATTTGAGTAGCGCTGCTATAGACAGAACAGTGTTCCAGCATCTGCCTGGTGTCAGACCTACAGCAGGAAGAAATCAGTAGTTCATGGTGGTTCCATTTATAGTAATGTGATTTTAAGGTTGTCCTTTCCCCTAAAATCAGCTAAGCCATAAAGTGGAAGAAGCATCCAAAGGTAGAAAAGTAAGAGAATAATTCTTTAGCTCAAAATATTAGGTAGGCAGAAATTCATGGATAAAAATTACACTTGTCCCAAGGTATTTTCCCAAACTGGAGAAAGCTTAGCTTTAATTTTTCTTAGACTTAAGATATTACTGTGATAGATTCCTCTCAGAGGAATCAAACACCTGAGATAATAAACTTATAAAGAGGAAAGTTTTAATACTCCTAGAAACTAGCCAGAGCAATTACACAAAGAAATTAAAGGAATACAAATTGGAAAAGAAGAACTCAAAACTATCACCATTTGCTGATGACATGATTCTATATTTAAAAGATCCAAAAAATTCTACCTGAAATGTTCTTGAACTAATGAATGGATTCAGCAAAGTAGCAGGATATAAAATCAACACCCATAAATCAAATGCATTTCTATACCTCAGTGATGAACACTCTGAAAGAGAAACTAGGAAACCTACCCCATTTACAATAGCCTCAAAACAAAAAAAAAGAACTAAAACACTTGGTAATCAACTTAATAAAAGAGGTGAAAGACTACAGAATGCTATGAAAACTACATAATGCTAAACAAAGAAATTGAAGAACTTAGAAGATGGAAAGATTTCCCATGTTCTTGGATAGCAAGAATTAATATTGTCAAAATGGCCATACTACCCAAAGTATGATACAGATATAATACAAATTCTATTAAAATTCCAATGTCATTCTTCATAGAAATAGAAAAATAATCATGCAATTCATTTGGAAAATAAGAGACCCAGAATAGCCAAAGCAATCTTAGCAAGAAAAGTGAAGCAGGTGGCATCACAATAACAGGCCTTAACCTATACTACAGAGCAATAGTAACAAAAACAGCATGGTATTGGCACCAGAGTAGACATGGAGATCAGTGGTACAAAATAGAAGACACAGAGACAAACTCACATAAATACAGTTATTTCATACTAGACAAAGACAGCAAAAACATACAATAGAGAAAAGATAATCTCTTCAACAAATGGTGCTTGGAAAACTGGAAATCCATATGTTACAAAATGAAATTTTGCACAAAACTCAGATTGGATTAAAGATTTAGGCACTAGAACAGAGACCCTGCACCTATGAAGAAAAAGTAGGCTCAAATCTTTATCATGTCAGCTTAGGACTTGACTTCCTTAACATGACTTCTAAAGCACAAGAAATAAAATCAAGAATTAATAAATGTGATGGTTTCAAACTAAAAAACTTCTTCTCAGCAAAGGAAACAATCAATAACATGAAGAGGTAGCCTACAGAATGGGAGACATCTTTATCACATGCACATCAGATAGGGCACTAATCTCCAGGATATATACAGAATAAAAAAAAATCAAAAAACAACCCAATCAATAAATGGACTAAGGAACTGAACAGACACTTCACAGAAAAACATATACAATTGATCAAAAATATGTGAAAAAAATGTTCAACATATCTGTCAATTAGAGAAATACAAATCAAAACTACTCTAAGATTTTGCCTCACTCCAGTCAGAATGGCAATTATCAAGAACACAAGCAACAGTAAATATTGGCAAGGATGTGGGGGAAAAGGCACACTCATACTTTGCTGGTGGGACTGCAAATGGTGCAACCACTATGGAAAGCAGTATGGATATTCCTAGCAAAACTGGGAATGGGACCACCATTTGACCCAGCTATCCCACTCCTTGGTTTATATCCAAAGGACTTTAAAATGGCATGCTATCATGAAACAGCCACATCAATGTTTATAGCAGCTCAATTAACAATAGCCAAACTATGGAACCAACCTTGATGTCCTTCAACAGATGAGTGGATAAAGAAGCTGTGGTATATATACACAATGGAATATTACTCAGCCTTAAAGAAGAATAAAGTTATGACTGTTACAGGTAAATGGATGGAGTTGGAGAATACCATGCTAAGCATAATATGCCAATCCCCCCAAAAAACAAAGGCCAATTGTTTTCTCTGATATGTGGATGGTGATCCATAACAGTGGGGGAGGGTAATAGGGAAGAATGAAGGAACTTTCGATTGGGCAGAGGAGAGTGAGTGGAGGGGAGAGAGTGTGGGGTAGGAAATATGGTGAAACGAGATGGACATTATTACCCTATGTACATGTATGATTGCACAAATGGTGTAAATTTGCATCGTGTACAGCCAAAGAAATGAGAAGTTGTGCTCCATTTGTGTACAGTGAGTTGAAATGCATTCTGCTGTCATGTATAATGAATTAGAACAATTTTTTTTAAAATATAGAGAGAAAGGTTTCTTATGACTCACAGTTTTAAAGGGTGATTCCATGAAGTTCTGCCACTTCACTCCTGTAGTGAGGCAGCACATCATGTTGGGAGCACTGGGCAGATCAAAACCACACACATCCTCACCAGGAGGCAAAGGAGGAGAATAAGGGGTGGGTGTCCAACAATGTCCTTCAAGGACACAGCCTGCAATGCCCTGAGGACCTTCCACTAGGCCACGACTCTCAAAGATTTCACCATTTCCCTGTAGGAACATCCAGGCACCAAGCCTCTATCACAGGGGCTTTAGAAACACTCATCCTTCAATCATAACAAGCACACAGGTGATGATCCTCAGAGATACTTTGAGTAAGAGTTTAATGGAAGACATGCTGGCTTTCTGTAAAATCTGAGAAACAAAAAAAAAAACTTATACCTTCTGAGCAAGAAGTGAAAATCTTTTTGTTTTTGGGGGGAGGAAGGTACTGGGGACTGAACTAAGGGCATTCAATCACTGAGCCATATCCCCAGCCCTATTTTGTATTTATTAAGAAACAGGGTCTCATTGAGTTGCTTAGTGCCTCACTGTTGCTGAAGCTGGCTTTGAACTCATGATCCTTCTGCCTCAGCCTCC